GAATCTTACCTAGGACAGTAATTTGCTCCCTAAACTGCCTCAGAGCTGGGTCTGTGCTGGCAGGCAGGTCAGCAGTCCCAGGTACAGAGCTCAGGAAATGCTTTCTATCAGGTATCCCAGGGCACAAATTGCTCCACAGAAGGCCTGAGCAAGGTCAGTTTCGGATTACGCTTTGGGCAGTAACTGAGCTTCTAATAGCTCCATCTATGTCACCTGCATGAAAGAAGTATTTTCAAGTACCATTAGGCAGTCATACTGGCTTCACTCAGTGAATGAGAAATTTTAAAGACAATCACTTTGGGAGACACAGTTCTGGATAATGTGTGGTGATTTGGGGCACCTTCACCCATCTTCTTGTGTGGGTCAGCTGTGAAATGTGCACAGACATCTCCCATCATCTGCTGTCGTTTTCTCCCTGCCTCATGGCACAGTCCCAGGGAAAGTTAACCCCACAATCATCAGTCCCTACCTGTACTGTAAAACTGAGTCAGCAGTGCAGCTGGGGGGACTGGAAAAGGCAGAATGTATTGCAAAGTTTAAATTATGGTCTAGAACTTCAGGATATATTATTTCCCAGAGAATATTTAATCCTTAGCCAACATTTTCTTACTAATCTCTCCCATCTTCATCTTCTGTCTCTCCAGGAAATAGGTTTAAACATCACAATTTTCCACAATAATTCTAATTATTGTCATTGATCATTTTCTGAAGATCTAAAGTGGCCTCTGTACCTATTTCTACCCCACTTTGAGAAAGTGACATGATACATGCCCTATGAAAGCATGCTATCTCAGAGGTCACGCTTCCTTAGAAAAGCAACAGAAGAGGGCTGCAGCTCCTTGCTCTGAAGTCAAATGCTACACAACTCTCCTGCCTTTACACAGGCTTACTAAGAGAAACAAGGAAAGGTTCTACATAAGACACAGGCATCTTCTTCCTTGGTTTCTGTAGGTGCTAATTAAATACATGCCAAAATGCATGTTGCAGCATGCTTTATAACCCTAAGGTACACCTATATGCCTTTTGCAAGGTGCTACGTGTTTTGCTTTAACTTGATTTTGATGGTTAATAAACCATTTCTTAAATGTGCTCAAAGTTAAGTAATACTAAGATAAAACTAATAAAGTTCTTCCACAGCAATCATGGGTTAATTACAAAAAATATGTATTTTTTTATAATTTTAAGCTTTGAGAAAATCCTATTTGTACTGTTCTCAAGAGATTTCAATTTAGCAGAAATCTGAGTTGTGCATCTTCCTAGGCCTAAATCAAATTTCTAAGTAAAAATAGGCTTTTTTTGGCTTTTAAATTTAAGGACACTAATTGATAGCATAAGAGATCACCATGCAGATTAACTACATCGTCAGACATAACTCCCCCCAAAATAACTGACTGCTACATCTGCCTGTACAAGTACTAAAAAGGCTACATCATGAGTCTGTTGGAATCCACATTTTAATTTGTTCTGTAATTGCATACAAAATATAAATACAATTCTCTTAAGTGCTGAACACAGTCAGTTAAAACCACTGTTAAGATAGATTGACTTTGACTTTCTGAACATTGGCACAACTTGACTGGTTTCAATAGAACTATGGCTACTTTTACAGCAATGGACCTCCTAGGTTGAATCACCAGCTCACACCATCAAAATCATTCTGGTTATTTATGATTACTGGAGGAATTACATCCTTTTTCACATCTTATAAATTCATCATGTTTCACATTTGTAAATTCATCAAATCTGAGATCAGGGCTTGTGTTGTTCCCAGAGTATCCATCTGAAGTTCTGGTCCACCTCCCAGCAGGCTGTGTCAGAGTACCTTGGACTGGCCCCAGACTGAACTTAGCCCAGTCTCTCTCTTCTGCATATGTAAAATAAGGAGCACAACTACAGGCAAGGTCAATGCTGGAGGTTTTAGATGAAGAACAGAAGCCAAACAAGAAAATTTTATCTTTAGCCACCTTTCCCATCCACACACAAAGCATGTTGTTAAAGTGCCAAAGATTAGACTGTCATATTGCCTAAACCACTGAAAAAGTAATAATTTTGATGTATCTATTCATATACCATTTCCCTAGCAAAGACTGGTCTCTGCTATTCTTGGGCACCTCATTCAGAAATTGCTTTCAGACAACTGTATTCTAGGTTAACTGAATCACTCTTAAACTCAAGTACTGGCAGACCTCACAAACTTGCAGAAATTATGGTGCTGTGAGGATGACAGAAATCTATACTAGGTAATTTACTTTGCCTCCCACTACCTTCTAACAAGCAAAATATAGGCTCCTGCATTTTGTACTTTCAACTGCTTTCCTATTAGTACTGTCTTGGCTTCATCTAGATTGTCCTCTAACTTAGGAGGAAAACAATGCCATAGTGGAAAAAGAGGTTCTGATTGGAATGAGTACTGGATTTTGTGGCTTTCTTGGTTCTAAATGTAGTCTGGTTAAAGAACAGCTCTGCTTCAAGACCTAACACTCCTCTCGATCCTTAGCTATATAAAAAGAAAATAAGTTCTGGTTCAAATAAATTCAAATAAATATAACACGCTAGGAAACTGGACAACTTTCTTCTAGTTCTGTATTACTCTATAGCTGAACTGCTTGGAATAATGACTGTAGGGGTATCAGCTATGCATTGCTTCAGCAGCATAATCAGCATACATTGTCAATCATTGCACTCCAAATCAAACATTTTTAGAAGTATGAGATTCCCCCAGATAAATCCTTAAAATTTCTTAGTACCTTCCGTGATTTCTCCTCATATGAAAACTATGCTCTTTTATTAAAAAAAAAAAATAAAAAAAAAGCCTCCTTTCTCTGTTCTCTGTCTCCAGTAGTCTCTGCTCTGTTATTCACTCAAATGTCCAGACTCACTGGCAGAAGCAATAGACTATGTCTGTTAGAACGCGCAAAGCCTGTTTAATCACTGTTTAAGGAACAAATTACTATAATGCAAAATAGAAGATCTACTTTGTTTTCAGAAACTTTACTCTAATTCACAAAATCTTTCCATCTCTAGGCCTGCTGCGGAGAACAACTCTGTTGATAAAAAGGAAAACTGCATGGAGAAATTTTTATAAAAAAACATCATCATACTCAAAATACACTAGGAATTTTCTTCCATTAAAACACAAGCTGTTCTTCAGCTGCTCTGTGCTTCATCAGACTATCTTTACAGAAAGCATAAAAAGCCATTTCACTCCACACTAAATAAGGATAGATACTGCAGGGTCGTTAGAGCCCTTGTAATGGGTGTTTGGAACAGGGACCTCTTAATCTTTTCTGCAGTACCTGGTGTTGTGTATCTAAGTGTCTCATGCTCCTTTTGACCTGTTTCTCCAGCACTGAAGTGCCTCTGTGTAGATTTAAACTGGACTTTTTACAGAGCAATGGAATATTTTTCTCTATATGTATCTGTATCACAACGCCTCAATTAGTCATTCCCAGCAGTTTTAAAAAAAGAAGACATGAATATGCAGATTCACTACACATGTAGTCTGTGTAACTGGGAAGAATAAAGAGGGTACACTTCACACAGCTTCCTCTATAATCATGCCAGCATTCATCCCACAGAGCAGTATTGCTAGGGGTTTCATACTTGCCTCTGTACTAGTACTAGAAAGGAGTGGACCCTAGCATTTAAGAAAAAGTGTGTCTGCTGACACCAATTCCTTCGTGGTGCAAGATCACCTTGTGAACTTCCAGCATTGCGGGGGAAACAAGGAAGATAGAAAAGATGGGAAGAGTAACCAAGGAGTTTAAAGGGAACTGCAGAATATTCAAAACCAAACATGGAGTTGACATTTCCTGCCTATAAAGACACCAAAGGCTGGTTTATGACTTTTTTTTTAAGTGGCTTAAACAGTATGAAATGCCTTAATACATGAAACACATTGGGAGACCCCTGACTATATTTGGTGTCATGTTTTTTCTACCTCTCCACTTGAGCAATGAGAAAAAAAAAGTCCTCGCTGTTCAGAGTTCAGCTACAGTGGCCATTGTCCAAAGAGCCAATATTGCAGGGGAGCAATTTTCATTTGAATTTTTTTCTCCTAAGAGTCCATTATCAGTCCTTGACTTGTATGCACAGAACTGGCCACAAAATGTTAGGGCTACAAGGTACTTCCCGTAATTACTCTGCAGCGAAACTTGCCTCTACTAGCACTGGTAAAGCATAGGAATAATTACAATCTCACCTGAATAAATGATGCATGCCAACATTAAAAGCTTAACGTCGACTTTTAAACAGAATTCAGGTTCCTAACAGTGCACACAGTAATCTTTTGAAAGGCCCTGCTATGTACCTGTCAGCATCACTGGGTGGCTAAATATCCTTAAAAATCTGACCTGCCATCCTCCAGCAGACCTGAGCAACTCTGCAGCCTAAGCTTTGGTCTTCAGCTGCTCAAGTTTTAAGATGCTCACTTCATTTATTGCAAAGATCAATCTAGAAGTGTGACCGCAGAACACGCCAGTACGCTGCACCAACATGCTGGCAGCCTATTCCTGAAGGAACTTAGTGGTCCTTTCTTTTGCTTTAGTAATTCCAGTTTTTTCAGTTAAGGAAGACACAAAAAAACCCACACACACAATTACGTGCAAATGTAAGTAAAAAATTCTTTAGAAGTGCAGAGTATCACAGAATATCCATTGGAAGTTCGCAGTTTTGACAACTGTGTGATTAAAAGCCCACTAAAAACTATGGAAAGACACCTGATGACTTAAATGAACTTTGGATCAGCTGTAAGGGCATTTCTTTATGCACTGAGACTGTTATATATAACAATTAATTAAGTTACAGTTATAACATCAAAGAAATGCCAATAATGAATATTTTTTTTGCTAAGAAGAGCGAATAGCTTTCTTATGAACAGTATCATCTAACAACTTAGCTATGTAATATCCCTATGAGAAATCAAATAATTTTTTTAAACAAATTACAGACACACCTGTACAAATTATATAAATCAAAAATCTTAAGTAAATATAAAAATATATATATTACAAAATTACATCTTCAGTGGGATCCTGCCTGTACAGTAATATGCACCCGCAAAGTCCTGAGAGCTCCACTCTCAATACTATTGGTGAGAGCTGAGTTCATGCTGCATTTTTCAAGCCTTTCCCCTCCCACCCTGCTGCCCCCGACCTTGTATTTTCTACCTAGGAAGCCAGGGGTTTATAGATTCAGAATACTCCTCACACAGCTGCAGAGTACTGAGCAGGAAATGGAATCTCATGCTGTGAATTAGGAATGTATGCTAAGTATCACATCAAAAAGTACTTGGTAAAGTTGTTTGGATCCCTCTACATAAAGGTATCACTCAGGAACAATGTTACCTCTTAACTCAGTAGCTAACATATGCTAAGCTAAACAATATAACTTGATTGCAAGAAACGCAAGGGCTTTTAAGTCATTGTTTGTTTATGATTTTAGTGCCTTTTTGAGGTCAGAGTAGAAATTGGTCAGGGTACTAGACATGGCAGTGTCTACTGCAGATTGTGGTAGCATCCCTCGCAGTTCTGTCTGAATATAGCCTGTCAAAAGGCTGTGTCTAGGATAGTCCTTGAGAGGGACACAGAACCAACCACAGGGGTGATTGAATCCACGGACAAAGTTAGGTCTCACCTCTCCATAGTCTAGGCTTATACCTATCAAGGAAAACAAACAAGAAAAGGGAAATTAATTTGAGACAGGTAAAAAATAAAGGTACAGTAAATTTAAAATATACACATTTCTGCTTGGGGAGTTTAGTAGCAGACACACTTCAAGTTTCTGGGTACTTTCATGCATGCAAGTTGTCTTCTCTTCATCCAAACTCCACACAAACAGGACTCAAAAAGCAGAAATTCTGACATTAAAATGACATTCCTCCTATTTACTACCAAGCTGTTACTCCACACAGTTTGCTGTAAGAGCTGAGCCAGAGCACTCAACTTATCTCTTCCATTCCTATCCCTCAGCTGGCACAAATGAAACTTGGCACAAAGGGATGGCTCATGGGTAAACAAGTAACTTCTATACTTCTTTAAATAAGCAAAATGTTAAAATACCTTTGAAATGCTTGTTGGAGACCATCTTATACCGTTTTTTAATGTTTACTGAAAAACTAAACTTAATTTGAATGAAATCTTAAGCCAAGCAGCTGTTGCAGAATAAGAATTAAGCAGAGGTTAAGTGGTGCCTTACCACATGAGAGAAGCCCATCTTCGTAGCTTGTAGTGTAAGAGAAATCCACAAACTCCCTTGGTGCTATGATGTTCCAGAGCTGGCCAGCAGTGGTATAGCGCATCACACAGCAGTTCTTGTTGAGTGACAGAATGAGGAGAGTAAAAACCAAAAATGTCTTAATATAAAGAATACAAGGAAATTTATGCTTGTAGGCAGCAGCCTTTTCCACAAAGGTTGCGGCCTCTGCCAACTATGCTGTGCAAATAACTTCAGTGAGGTCTGAATGGCTGTCGTTTCCAGTCTGAATGCTGGAAGTCTGTAAGGACTTGCAGTCTGCAGCTGAGAGCTGCAGGAGCTGAGAATATCTGGCACCTTTAAACCACACTGACTAAAACTACAGAACTCTGTTGTGCCTGGAATCTGAAAGCCACATGGCTTCTATGCGGCTTAACCACTACTTAGCAGGTCTGAAAGGACCACAAGTAAATTGCAAGAGGCCTCTCTCAGAACTGAGATGCTCTGTCAAGTACTTTTAGTCCACCAAGTAAATAATAAAACAACACAAACAAGTCTTCAGAAAAGTCTTTCTTATAAGACAATAGAGCTTGTATAAATTTTAGAGAATAAAAAGCAAAAATATCTTGCCATATAAATCTGCCCTAACAGCCAGAGCAAAAGAAAATCCATGTTTAAGCCAGGTGTCCATGGGGTTTTGAAGTCACACTGAATGTCCCCAGTAACCAAAGGAAGGCTACCAGCTCTTCTGTGATCAACTTCAAACCTACTTTTCTTAAGCAAGTCCTGCCCCTATGTGTGAACTATTTTGTCTCCCAGCAGAAAGCCCTGCCATACAGTGAAGTCAGTCTTTTAGGAGTGAAAGGTTGCAGCTTCTGTATGTGTGGATTATTAATACCCACATTTTTGTTTCTTGTGGAACATAAGAAAACAAGCTGTATGAAAAGGCTTTGGCATATAAAAGACTGTAACTCTATACATGAATTTTATCAGAGGCTACCAGAGCTCCCAGGTCTGAGAGAATCGTGACCAACCAAGTTTTACTCCTTTAATTTTAGCATTGATGGAAAGCTGAACTTCAAGCTTCAGAACAGGACTGTGCAGCCAGAAAGCCTCATCTAAGGCCACCCACAGCATGTATGCACAATATCCCACGTGCACGCAGAAAACAGGCAGAAAAATGCTAGATTTGTTGGAATAACTGCTCTGCTGTACTGTTGAATTCACATATGCATCTATACACATTTCCCTTAAGAATCTAAACAAGTCTTCACCTCTTCAAATGTTTCCATGATGTCCATTGTAGTCATTAAGCTGTCCCAGTCTAGCCTATATGGTCCAGGGCGAATATGATCCACTATTCTGTTAGTAACATCTTCCACCACTCCTTGAGCTTTATAGCTAAAGAAACATAAGTTTACAGTTCAAAGTGAGAATTTCTTTATAAATATTCCTTTAATTACAACAGCACACTTACTGTAATACCTTGGTACCTGGAGTTATGGTTAGTGGACAATTGTACCAGAAAGACAGTACAGAAAAAGACCTTATGGGTGCATCTATTCTCCTCTGCAATAAATGTTATTCTGATAAGCTTTGTCCTTATGCTGCAATTAGTATTTTGTAAATTCTTTCCTCAGATAAAAATCATCATGCTTATTTCTCTAACAACTTGGTATTTTGCTGCTCTTGCTGGGGAAGCAAGGGAGTCCACCAGGGACAAGCAAAGCTAAAAGCAAAAAGAAAGGAGAGCGGGGGAACAATGGGAAAAACATTTTTCGTGAAGTAGAACTAACAGTAGTAGGACCAAGCTAATGAGAACCTACATTATGCTTTGGTGCCATATTAGAGTACCAAATGAAATAATTTGCTATAAGACATTACAGAACATTCATTTGTTATCAGTAGTAGACAACAGAGATTTTGTATACTTGAGTTAACGGGCCTCCGGCTCCTGAAGGGGAATAATCCATCAGAACCATTATTTTCAAAATCCTTCTTACTCATTAAGCTGTTCTTATTAGTAGTAGGTAACTAGTCAAGCAACACATTCATCTATACACTTGTGCAGTTCACCCATATTCATTCACAGTTACCTGGCTGGAGCCAATCTCAGCTGTATACTCAGAACCGGAGGACGACATGAACATGCCAGTGGCTTCTAGGTAGGTGTTTGGAAAGTTCTCCCAAGTGTCCTTTATTATCCCAGGTGTATACAGAACCCTGCAGTCTTCATCTGCACATAGTAGCCACTGCCCTCTTGGCAGTGGTTCAGATTACACCTGGTGTTGGTGCCAGTGTTCCCCGTGGCCCTGTACAGAGTCAGCAGACTCTTGGTGTCTGGGGTCATCAGCTCCTGCAGATGTTGCAGGATTTAAATTCCACAGAGCGCATCAGCCTTTGAGATACTTTCAAACACTACCTTTTCACATGACTTTTCCTTTCTTTAGAGTGCTTGGTTTTAGTAACTATTCCTCTGCCTAAACCTACAGATGCCGACAGAACCCAGGGACAGAAACTCACACAGGAAGGGCCTTTATGTCACACATCTTTCCCGCAACTACATGCTTGATATTTTACTGTACTGTAGCTGCATAGTCCCTGTGACAGTCCAAGCACTGACACTTCAGACCTACAGAAGCTGGACTTGATTCTGTGGTTTGCAGACCATCTTTCTAAAAGGTCTGGGCATGTGTTGTTGCCCACTTCAGCGAGAGTTCTGTGGTAAGTTCCATAGTTTTCATTTTTCATTGTTCTAGACACCATGCAATGCTAAAGCATCGAAGTATAATACTAAAAAGAAATGGTACAGGCACCCTAGATGATCCACTTAGCTTCTCCTGTGGAGAAACTGTGTAAGCTGAAGGCTGCAGAATCCACAGCCTTCATTTCTAAATTCTACAAAACACATTTGTGGAACCTTAAAAATATATCTGCTCTGCAGGCAAACTTACAGGTATCCACTGAATTCCTCTGATGGTTTACGCCATACAGTTGCATCTTTCTGAAAAAAAAAAAATAAAAAGGAAGATATGATGTTAATTGTCACTTACATATAATTCTAAGACATCCAGAAAATGCCTCAATTTTTCTGAAGGAAAGCAAAAGACTTAACCATTAAGTATGGTTCACCCCAAAGTGCTCGCTGAACTGGGCGCTTTTGTACACTTTTGTTAAGAAGATAAGCAGATGTTTCAGACATCTTTTGCTCGTAATCTTCCATTCTTTCAAAAAAGCAGTCAATTGCTTTTCTCAGTGTCAAACACCAGAAGTCTGCACAGAAATAGGGTTTGGCAGGACAAGCCAGTTTTCTAGGAAAACACTTAGAATAATGGAACCACATTACTAGGTGAAGCCTTTCAATTAAAAGGCAACTGGAAAACCACTGTCTGGACACTACCTAGACAGGAAGACCACACAACTTCTGCTTGCACTCCTGTAACACATGACCAAGCACATGTGTGCAGCAGGCGCTGACACTGGCAGACAAAAAGGCTTAAGTTATCCTTCTCTCCTAGATGCCTGACTAGAACTCTCTTGCAAGCAGCCGTCTATTTATTTTAAAGCTAGTCAGACAAAATAAAGAAAACGGCATCTTCTGATTTCTATTTAACTATAAAATGGAACCTCTGTACAAAATCTCTGAATTTTGGTGTTAAACAGAGTACCATATGGCACCTTTTTATTTGGAATCATGATTATGTAAGTGCAAAGGACTAAATGTGCTAAAGAAGAGTAGCGTAAATGCTGCATCCAGAACTGTTGAGGATATTTAGGGGCAACAGACATCTCCCCGTGCACGTAGCTAAAGTTCTGAATTTCTTTTTCATGGCACAGTACTAAGACACAAGGAAGGAAGTCCAACTGGAAATTTTACCAGGGAACTCTTGGGAGTAACATGATCCAAAACAGTGAGATTCACTTAACTTCCTAAAGGAAAATAATGGTGTAGGTATAAGACTTAGCATTTAGCAGAGCAGAGGTGGTGTAGGTGTTTTGCAAGAGCGAAAGGCTTGGATGCTCTGTTCCTCCCTTTTAAGACAGTGAATTTGTTAACTCTGCAAATAATCAAGGTACATTTGGCATACCTGACCCTCTCTTACCAATGTCTGCTCACACATTAGAGAACTGCATTTTCTGTCATGGAAGGCAGCTTCTGATAATGTGGGGGCTCTGAAGGCAATGGAAACACGGCGCAATATGAGAAAAAAGGTGAGAATGATCTCACTTTTTAAGAGGAAGACATTTGGAAAGTGAAGGATGATGGGCTCAAGCATAGACAAGAGAGATTCTGGAGGCCGGCAGAGCCAACCGGGTTTGTTAGAAAGTACCAGTGCACATCTTGCACCGCCGCTGGTGCTAACACTATTTCAAATTTTGCTTTAAGAAAAGCCTGTAATCCTACACAGGTAGGATTCTTCTGCGAGGCACCTCCCTGAAAATGGGTGGAAGGAATGACGGAGTGTGTCTGTAGGCAGCAAACACATCCTGTCACCTACAGCTGCGCTACCCGAGCAGGGTGGTTTCCACAGGGCGTCTCACCCGAAAGTCCTGCGAGAATCTGCCAAATGCTTCGCAGGCGTTACACAGGGCTTACTAAGCTCTCTTCCCCCCCCCCACCACTGCCAAGTGACCTACAGCTTCCGTGGGGTGACAAACCGGGCCGCAGGCATGACGCCGCCCAGACCACTCACGGTTTTCTTCGCGAGCCGCCATTCGCTGTCTCCGATGCTGTGGTACTGAATCAGCGTGTTTCGCAGTTTCGTAGCCAGGGGTGCTGAATTTGGCAGGAGATCCATTTGCTTTCCGCCGGCGCCAAGGTCCCTGTCTCACACAGGCACGCGCGTCAGCACGGGACGCCGCTCATTTAAATTCACCCGCTTGGAACACAGAAC